GAAGCTTCCATTTATTTTAAGCTGCATCAGCCTCTGATTGTGTGTTTTTGTTTTGCCAAACTTTCACTTTAAGGGACAAAAGTTATTCTGTTCTCAAGATTATATTCAAAATGCGAAATTGTAATGATTGTTTTTATAATTTTTTATTTGATATTCATTTTTTCAGTATAATTTAAATAATCAGTGATCAGACCTTTGAACTGCATATATATCACTGCAGTATCCACAGTAATGGTTTCCTGCACAGCTGTAATTAAAGCCACTTATCAGTCAAATATAATTCCATCTGTTTCCAAAGAAGCTGCCGTGGCCCCATATGGGGAGCGGGAGGGGGGAGGGGGATCACGTGACTTCATAAGAGAGAGTCACTTTAAAATGATGGATTTCTTCACTAGAATTTACTTTAAGTGATGTGGCTCCACCACTGATGGTCATGTGATAAGTGTGTGGGTCACAGCGATTTAGGAACTACAGTCGTGTATGGAACAGATCATTGTTAATGAACGACCACATGACCTCCCGGGAAAAGTCCCTTGCATGTGTTTACTGACGTCTCTGGACTACTTTCATTTTCAGCTCTGTCTGTTTTTTGTCCTTTATTTATTTATTTTTTTTACTGTATTTTATCTAGAAGTCTTTCATCTATGAACTGTTACTGTTCTGATGTATCAGCTACTGGTCAAATGACTGGAATCATGAACCTTTTCAAAAATAATTTAGATATAATGTTAAATATAATGTTATAATGTAAATATAATGTAAGGTTAGGTTTAGGATTAGGGCCAGAGTGAGGATTAGGATTAGGCTTTGGGTTGAGGTTAGGATCAGGGCCAGGATGAGGGTTAGGATTAGGTTTTGGGTTAAGGTTAGGGTTTGGATTAGAGCCAAGATGAGGTTTAAGATTAGGTTCAGTGTTGAGGTTAAGGTTAAGGTTATGATGAGAGCCAGGATTAGGGTTAGAATTAGGTTTTGGGTTGAGTTTAAGGTTAGGATTAGGATTAGAGCCAGGATGAGGATTAGGATTAGGCTTTCTCTTTCTCTTTTTTGGACTGTCTACAGCTACGTCCATCATTGTAAACACAAGAAACATTTTATTTTATTTTCAGCTTTAATAGTGTCCAATTAATTATCTGAAACCTGTGAAGTTGTTCAGGGTGAACATATTAGAATCACTTTATAGAAAAACACACTCAGCAACACCATCCTATCTGGCAATTATCACTATCGCTATCCTGTTTCTTGTTATCGTTTCCATAGTGACCACAGTTAGAGTGGTTAACACTATTGGCCCAGTTAGTGCTGCCTATAGTGTCAAAGAAGTATATGAGAGATTATTCATACTCTACACTTCACACCGTTTGAGGCAAGTGTGTAATGCATGATGCTAATTGGTGGGTAGAAGCTTCCATTCATTTTAAGTGACAGTACATCAGCCTTTATTGAGGCTGTGTGTGTTTTTTTTGCCAATATTATTTTTTTTTTGCCAATAATTTTCTATCATTGGGTGGAAGGCAGGATACACCCTGGACAGGTCGCCAGTCCATCGCAGGGCAGACAGACAGACATATACAATCACACCTAGGGGCAATTTATGTCCAATTAGCATGTCCAATTAGTTTAACTGCATGTTTTTGGACTGTGGGAGGAAACCGGAGTACCCAGAGGAAACCCACGCAGACACGGGGAGAACATACAAACTCCACACAGAAATGACCCTGGTCGTCCGGCTGGGAATCGAACCCAGGCCATTCTCGCTGTGAGGCAACAGCGCTACCCACTGCGCCACCGTGCCGCCCATATATATATTTGTGTGTGTGTGTGTGTGTAGTATGCAGAGATATGAACCAAACAATAAAAAACTAAAATAAATGCATATATTAAAAACCAAAACAAAAACAAAATTACTACACTAATACTGTTATAGATACAACTGAGCCTTAGGCCTGTGTGCTGATTCTAAAGGGGAATGAGTTAATGATTTGAAGACTGACTCATAGCGAGAGTGAAAGAAATGTGTGTGTGTGTGTGTGTGTGTTTGTGTATGTGCAATATAGCAGCCCCATGACAAAGACTTCACTTTCAGAGCCTCAGGATGTGACGTCATCAGAATTTATGGCTGAAGCCAATTTCACTCCTCATAGAGTAATGAGTGGTTCACACACACACACACACAAACAAAGGACATACTATCTGATAAGCTCTAGTCTGAATTATAAATGTCTGTCTTTGAGCACTTACTAAATAGACTGTGTTCTATTAGCTCTCCTTCGTGTGGCTCAGAAAGTCTGCCTGCGTCCTCAGTGGATCTCTCAGTTCTAACCACTGGAACCAAACTGCATCAGTTCAGCGACACTGCCCAAAAACCATATTCCGGCAATGGGAAATCTTCTAAGGTCTGGACAATATATCTAGTATCTCACACTGTGAGATTAATGTAAGATTATTATAAGATCATTTAACATATTTCTGGGCACTGGAGTTATTCTTTAAGTCACTTGATCCAGTGAAATGATTATTCCATTGGCAGACACTATTTCAAACACCATTTCTTGACCCAAGCAAAACTATCTGCCGATGTAATTAAATAGTTTTTCTAGATCCAGTTACTTAAAACAACACAAATGTCTAGGAATAGGTTGTATAATCTTATGATGTTTTTCTAAAAACCCTGCAGAGAAATATTAGTTATAATGCTAAGATTTATTATGATTTCACTTGCCAAGATATATTTTTTGCAGTCTAAAAGGACCAGTTATTTCTGTCTTAAAAGTCCTAGATCATCACGTAAAAGCTGTGCTCTGTAATTCTGTTTGTTGATTTGTTGATTTGTTCTGTTTAATTGATTGAAAGTCTTTTCTTTTTGGATGTCTAAGAGCACTGGTTCCAAACCCTGGTCCTGGAGGAACCCTCTGTCCCACACAGCTTAGCGTTTTCCTGGTTTAACACACCCAGTTCTGCTCATTAAGGGATGTTAATGAGATGATTAGCTGGATCAGCTGTGCTGGGTTCAGGAAAAACACTAAAATGTTCAGAGCAGGAGGATCTCCAGGACCAGGGATTGCAGTCACTGCCTTAGAGGGAGAGTGTCAGGGAATGCAGTTGTGGCACAGTTCAGGGATTGGTGGTTAATGTAGTTTGTTTATTTTTGGAGGATGATGGGTAATGTAGTTGTGGCACAGTTCAGGGATTGGTGGTTAATGTAGTTTAAGTTTATTTTTGGAGGATGATGGGTAATGCAGTTGTGGTGTAGTTCACGGATTGGTGGTTAATGTAGTTATGGTGTATTTTTGGAGGATGATGGGTAATGTAGTTGTGGCGTAGTTCAGGGATTGGCAGTTAATGTAGTTTGGGTGTATTTTTGGAGGATGATGGGTAATGTAGTTGTGGCGTAGTTCAGGGATTGGCAGTTAATGTAGTTTGGGTGTATTTTTGGAGGATGATGGGTAATGTAGTTGTGGCGTAGTTCAGGAATTGGTGGTTAATGCAGTTTGTGTGTATTTTTGGAGGATGATGGGTAATGTAGTTTGGCATAGTTTCTGAGGAGATGGGTGACATAGCCATAGCATAGTTTTGGGATGTGTTGGGTTATGTAGCTGAGTTAGTTTTAGGGGTGCTGGGTAATGTAGTTGGGTGTAGTGTAGAGAGGTGGTGGGTAATGTAGCTAAGGTAGTTTTAGGGGTGTTGGGTAATGTAGCTGGGTTTAGTTTAGAGAGGTGATGGGTAATGTAGTTTGGTCTAGTTTTAGGGTGTGTTCGATAATGTAGTTGGGTGTAGTTTTGAGAGATGATGGGTAAGGTAGCTGAAGTAGTTTTGGGGGTGTTGGTAATGTAGTTGGGTGTAGCTTGAAGAGGTGATGAGTAATGTAGTTTGGTGTAGTTTAAAGGTGTGTTGGGTAATGTAGCTGTGGTAGTTTTAGACGGTATTGGGTAATATAGTGGAGTGTCATTTTGAGAGGTGTTGGCTAATGTAATTGAGCTGTAGTTTTAGGGGGTGTTGGGTAATGTAGATGGATGTAGTTTTGAAGGATGATGGGTTATGTAGCTGAGGTCGTTTTCTGGGGTATTGGCTAAGGTAGCTGGTGTAGTTGTAGGGGGTGTTGGGTAATGTAGTTGGGTGTTGTTTTGAGAGGTGATGGCCAATCTCACTTTAAGAGTTTAATGAGGACCATCTCGATGCACGAGTCGCTGCAGCCAGGCCCAGCTTGATCAGGACAAGCACTGCTACCCGAGTTTGAATTTTTTCATGTTCATTTGTGGCAGTTAAAAAGCCTAATTAGCCCCTGCAAACTAGTGTGGGAGCTTTCGATGAACCTTTTAGGCATGTAGAATGGCCCTGGTAGCATTGGATGAAGACTATAATTAGCCTACACAGCCACTCGCATCTGATTATGTCCTGAAATGTTGGTGTGATCAATGCAAACACAGTGTACTGTGCTGCTATTAGCATCAGGTATAATTAGCATCTTGGATGTCCAGTAATGTTGGGAAAGCTAGCTAGCAGGTATAGGTTTACCATCAGAGATGGTATCTAGTTACATTTACCTAATCAGCGTTTCAGTTTGGATGTATTTCATTGAGTATTTTACACTAATACTTCCACTTCAACTCACAACTCACCAAAACCACTCTGAATAACTTTATTTACACTTTAGCCATTTAATTATGCAGATATTGGCAGAATTCTCCAACTAGTGTTTTAAAATGCTACTTTTGTACTTTTGTGTTTTTGGAAAGGTACTTTTTATATTTTATGTTATTTAACCAAAGCCTGATTATAATATATGTAGATAGATGTGTGAAGCCCCTCCCCTCCCTTCCCCTGTATTTCTAATGCACTCTTAGTTTTGTTGTTCTGGCCTTAATTTCTTACTGGCAGAGAAATGAGAACAGCAGCTGTCAGTGCCCGCCCACTCCCTCTCTCTCCCTCCCCCCCTCCTCTCTTCCCCTCTCGCTCTCTCTCTCTCTCTTTAGCCCAGCCCAGTAACACACCCACAATTGAGGCAAAAGCGTCTCAGAGGGAGGTCCATCTTATACTGGAGGGAAAGAGCGGTCAGTGGAAACAGCCGGACGGTAAAAAGAAGCACAGAAGAGTTAGAGAGACGAGGTTTGACAAAGACAAGAAAGAAAAACAAAGGGATCAAAGGAATATCAGCTTTAAATAAACTGTAAAGGAATTTATGAAAGGATTGGAGGAGGTGCCGAGGGCAAAGGAGAAAAAAAGGAGTGTAGAAAGAGAGGAGAAAATCTGAAGGAGCTCAAAGAGAGAGAGAGAAAGAGAGAGAGAGAGAGAGGAGAGAAAGCGTACAATAGAGTGGGACGGACTGGAGGGGAAAAAGAAAGTAGAGAAGTGGGGGATTTACATGCTGCGACTGGAATGAATGATTCATTTTGGATTTAAAACGTAAAGCGAAGGACGAACACATTCATATATATCTCTGTGTTGCTGGACTTAATATGGAGCTAAAGTGGAGTTTTCTGCTTCTGGGTAAGTGACTGAAGCGTCCTTCTTTAAAGAGATAGTGGGGGCTGTTGTGGACAGACTGCAGCACATGCAGCCTGTTACTCATATGTCACTGGTAGACAGTGTGGACAGATCAGTGTGAGTGAGTGAGTAAGTGTGTGAGAGAGAGAGAGAGAGAGAGAGAGAGAGAGAGAGAGAATGACTCTATTATTCAGTGTAAAGAATGTCATCTAAGAATTTTCTTAAAGAGAAAATGCATTAGACACACTCTACACACCCACTGGCACCTGATTTTGTGTGGAAGTGGGGGAGCAAAGTTGGAGGGCGTGCCAGTGCCAGTGCTAGCTGTGCTAATTTGGGCTAGACCAGAGGTCCCAGCCACTGGACAGCAGTTTGGAATGAGCAGAGAGGGGAGTTAGTAGCCCAACTGCTGAAATCCACTGTTTTATTATTATTATTATTATTATTATTATTATTATTATTATTATTACAGTAATTTTATTTTAAGGCGTAATTTTACATTTCAGTGGCAAGTAATTGAAGGGACTTAGTAAATACACTCGTTTTATTGATTTTGTCATTTTAAAAATATTTGCTAGTAGCTGCTTTCATTAAGGACATGCTGTGCTCCGTTTGCTCCACTGACCGATCGCCTATTTCTTCACTACAGTCAGACATTCACTCATATATGTACACACTCACACCCAGACAGAAGACACACACACACACACACACACACACACAAACACACACACACACACACCTTTCTTCCTGAGCTCTGACTCATGCCATGCAGACCAAGGCCTGAGAGATAAGCTTCTAGGGTTGCCAAGTTTGGTGAGTGACACTGGAGTGAGATTTTCAGATGGTTGGAGTGAGACTGTAGTGAGATTTTCAGGTGACAGGAGTGAGACTGAAGTGATATTTTTAGATGGCTGGAGTGAGACTGGAGTGAAATTTTCAGGTAGTTGGAGTGAGACGAGTGAGATTTTGAGGTGGTTGGAGTGAGACAAGTGAGATTTTCAGATGACTGGAGTGAGACTGGAGTGAGATTTTCAGGTAGTTGGAGTGAGACGAGTGAGATTTTCAAGTGGCTGGAGTGAGACTGGAGTGAGATGTTCAGGTGGCAGGAATGAGACTGGAGTGAGATTTTCAGGTGGCTGGGAGTGAGACTGGAGTGAGATGTTCAGGTGGTGGGAGTGAGACTGGAGTGAGATTTTCAGGTGGTTAGAGTGAGACGATTGAGATGTTCAGGTGGCTGGAGTGAGACTGGAGTGAGTTGTTCAGGTGGCTGGTATGAGGCTGGAGTGAGATTTTCAAGTGGCTGGAGTGAGAGTGGAGTGACATGTTCAGGTAACTGGAATGAGGCTGGAGTGAGATGTTCTGGTGTCTGGAGTGAGACTGAAGTGAGTTGTTCAGGTGGCTGGAGTGAGACTGAAGTGAGATTTTCAGGTGGCCAGAGTGAGACTGGAGTGAGATTTTGAGGTGGTTGGAGTGAGACAAGTGAGATTTTCAGATGGCTGGAGTGAGACTGGAGTGAGATTTTCAGGTAGTTGGAGTGAGACGAGTAACATTTTCAAGTGGCTGGAGTGAGACTGGAGTGAGATGTTCAGGTGGCAGGAATGAAGCTGGAGTGAGATTTTCAGGTGGCTGGGAGTGAGACTGGAGTGAGATGTTCAGGTGGTGGGAGTGAGACTGGAGTGAGATTTTCAGGTGGTTAGAGTGAGACGATTGAGATGTTCAGGTGGCTGCAGTGAGACTGGAGTGAGTTGTTCAGGTGGCTGGTATGAGGCTGGAGTGAGATTTTCAAGTGGCTGGAGTGAGAGTGGAGTGACATGTTCAGGTAACTGGAATGAGGCTGGAGTGAGATGTTCTGGTGTCTGGAGTGAGACTGAAGTGAGTTGTTCAGGTGGCTGGAGTGAGACTGAAGTGAGATTTTCAGGTGGCCAGAGTGAGACTGAAATGAGATTTTGAGGTGGTTGGAGTGAGACAAGTGAGATTTTCAGATGGCTGGAGTGAGACTGGAGTGAGATTTTCAGGTAGTTGGAGTGAGACGAGTAACATTTTCAAGTGGCTGGAGTGAGACTGGAGTGAGATGTTCAGGTGGCAGGAATGAGACTGGAGTGAGATTTTCAGGTGGTTGGGAGTGAGACTGGAGTGAGATGTTCAGGTGGTGGGAGTGAGACTGGAGTGAGATTTTCAGGTGGTTAGAGTGAGACGATTGAGATGTTCAGGTGGCTGGTATGAGTCTGGAGTGAGATTTTCAAGTGGCTGGAGTGAGAGTGGAGTGACATGTTCAGGTAACTGGAATGAGGCTGGAGTGAGATTTTCAGGTGGCTGGAGTGAGACGAGTGAGATGTTCAGGTGGCTGGAATGAAACTGGAGTAAGATGTTCAGGTGGCTGGAGTGAGACTGGAGTGAGATGTTCTGGTGTCTGGAGTGAGACTGAAGTGAGTTGTTCAGGTGGCTGGAGTGAGACTGAAGTGAGATTTTCAGGTGGCCAGAGTGAGACTGGAGTGAGACATTCAGGTGGCTGGGGTGAGACTGGAGTGAGTTGTTCATGTGGCCGGAGTGAGACTGGAGTGAGATTTTCAGGTGGCTGGCGTGAGATTGGAGAGAGATTTTCGGGTGATTGGAGTGAGACTATAGTGAGATGTTCAGGTGGCTGGAGTGAGACTGGAGTGAGATCTTCATGGTGTATGGTGTAACACCAGTGACGGTGACTCCAGTGACATTCTGGTTAAAACTGAGGATTCTGTAAACTGGCTGACTCACTGGCTGATCAGGTGACCTTGTGCAACTATTTATAATCAGTAATAAAAATGATATTTTTTGACAAAATATTAATTACCCAGCCGTTTAAGCACATCACACCAATGACACATAGACGTTTTGTGCTGCCTGATAAACAAAATTATTAATAAATGAATTAAATACAGTGAGTGAGCGTGACTCGCCTTGAGACGCTTCCTCTCTGATGAGCCTCGACCCAAAGAAGCAGTTTAATAGAGCTGAAAATGCTGTGTTAAAATGGAATATAACAGTCCTGATGACACCAGCGACCAAAATCTGAGACAAATGATTTTTTAAAATAAAATACATATGTTTTAAATGTAGTATAATGTTAATGATATAAAAAGTGAACATGAATCTCTTTTATATATGTTTCTAAGTTAAACCTCTTAAAAATATTGCTTTTTTATTAAAAATGGTTTCTCAAATGTTGAAAACTGGTTTTGTGACGAGCTGTTTTACAGACGCAGAGCGATTATGAAACAGGATAAAAAGAGAAAGATCAGAGAATCATAAGGGAAAAGTGTTATTTAATCTTAGGTTAACTGTGTAAATGTACATACTGACTTTTGGAGCGGTGTCTAACATTTTAAGCATCTTTTTAAGCCCTGCAGCCTTTGTGACATGGTTTCCCCATCCAGTACGGATTCTCTGTCCGTCTGGGCCAAATCACAAATCTTCTGTGCTGTTATCAACACAGCAATCAGTGAGGCATCTTCACTGCTTTCTCGGAAGGACTAAAAGTACCTAAAAATATCTTCTGCTTACTGAGGTTGAAAGTAGAGGATCATGTTTGGTTTGGGTACCGAGCTGAGTGTACGTGGTGCGGAAATGCACCCGTGAAAACCGCACTGTGGTCGCATTTCTGCATCAACGTAACAACTTCACCAGTTTCACATATGCAAAATAACCATTTAGCATGTGTCTGCATGTGCATGACCATGTGAGCTTTGTAGGCCTGATCTGTAGATCATCAAAAAGCAATAGTTCTGCATTTTTGCACTGAAGCTGTGAGGCTGGTGTATCTCAAATAGGCTTGGTGTCTGACACTGTATGACACACTGTTAGTTATTTAAATGGATAAAAGTACTTCAGCATAGCTATAACAGAAGCAGCAGCTGTCCTGAAGCCTGAATTCTGACCGTACCTCTGTTCAGTTCACGTATCTCACAATGGTTATATAATGGTCACACTGGTCACACTGGCTGCGTGTACATGCAAAGATTTTTGTCAATCCGATTAAATACATTTCGATTACAGATTAAGACTGAGGTGTTTATATGCTCATTCTACTCAACAATCAGTGTAGACGTTACCATGACAACCAGCATCACGTGAGTCCGGTCAGAGTGAGATGAGCAGCAGTGAGCAGCGCTTGTGGTTTTAATTACTTTAAAATGATGTCAGACTCAGGAAAACGTCCTCCACATGTCCTTATTAAAGAAGGCTGAGAGGAAGACGTCGTGTTCTGAGACACATAAGCTGGACGTCCGTCCCACCGCCGTCTTTTAAAGATCAGAGCATAAACTTCGTCTCCTCTGCAGACCAGTTTCTGCTCCGCCATGTTGAACGGTATAAACTTTCACTATGACGTGACGAACATGATCAGAACGGACTTAAACTTTCCGATAGGGAATGTAATCAGATACAGGCGTTTACACGGATATTATTCTTCTATTTAACGGATTATTACAGGATTACCCACCTCGATCAATCAGATAGAAACTGTATTCCGAATGGCCTCAATCAGACTAGACTATTCTGACTGAGCTATTAGTCTGATTATTTACAGATTATCAGGCTACATGTAAACGTGGCTACTGATTTCCAGTCTGTTCACAGGATTGTGTACATTAACATGTGAGTGCTACTTTATTAGAATTTGTGTTTTCGTGGCTGATCTTAGATCAGGGTTTGTTCTAGGCTGCCTTAGCATTAGCACCATTAGCTGTGGTCTTTCCACAGGTCAGCCCTTCGCAGTGGAGATGAGGTGTGGTGCTCAGAACCATGTGGTATATATAATACACAAAATAAAGGTGCCAAATTGGACTTATAACTAATAAAAAAAACAATAAAGGCCAATAAAGAACCTTTTCTGTACATGGTAATAACCTTTCCTAAAGTTCGAAGAACCTCCAAATAATGTGGAACTGTTCTACGTCCGTTAAAGGTTCTTGACAGAACCATATGTCTGTTTAGGGAGCCATATTCTTAGGGAAAGACACTACGAG